CCCCCCTCCCTGCCCCCACCAGCTCCCCCCAGCAGGGGTAGAGCAGAAACAGACAACAGCCTCTGGGCCTCTGGGCTCCCCTCCTTCTGCCGCCCTGCTCCGCGTCCAGCAGCAGTGACTCAGCGGCACCCAGGGCTGGAGGCCCGGCCCAGATCCTCGCCAGGCACACCACTCTGGCACCTTCCGCCACCTGCCGTGTGATGAATGAGCCACGGGACACTCAGCAGCCGGAGGACGCGTGGTTTGTGCCCCCAGTGTCACCTTCAGGAAGAGCCGCTACACGAGGATGGCAAGGTGCGGGGTCATATACACGTGGGGTGCCTTTTTTCTAAGAAGAGTGGGGTGCAGCCACCAGCCAATGCCTCTCCTGGCTATTGGCTTCAAAGGACTCCTCCATATGTCACTCGCATAGCCTGTGGAAACAATGTCTAACAAAGGATTTCTTAAAGTAAAATCTTGCTACAAGAGACCCCTTTGGAAACTATTTACTCAGGAAACCGAAACAGAGAGTTCTCTCAAGATGTCTCCTCAGTACTGCAGGGCGGGGCCACCAAGGACGGGACATCTTATGTGATGTTGAGCAGGTCCGCCGTGACTGCTTCACAGAGAGAAGGTTCTGCTCAGTATCAGACAGACTGTCCAGCTCCCAGGTTCCTCAGGCCCCAGGCGGCCCCTCCGGCATGCCCGGGAATCCAGCCTCGCTCCTTGTGGCATGGAATGTTCCACGGCCATTTGCTCCTGGTCACACCTTCATGGGAGGTGCCACATCTCTCTGGCCATGCCCACACACATGGCTGGGCAAGGAGACGACCCACATCCCGCTCCAGCCTCAAGGTAACTGCCCCCGGGGGCCTCATTTCCCCATGAGCACCAAGGAACCGCTCACCGAGGACTCGGCTCAGTCCTGCCCACACGTCCACTCACCGCCTCCAGTGGCCTGCAAGGGCCCAGAGCTTTCGGACGCTTCTCCATGTCAGCCCGGGCCGTCGTGTGGGTGTGGACGCTGTGTCACGAGTTGGAAGCTCAGCTGCCCGGGAGATGGCTGGGCCTCTGGAGGCCGAGTTCCCTGATCTGGGGACAGGGACTGGTGCCTCTTCTACAGGGTGCTGTGAAGTCAGAGGGGCACATCGGGGCCAGACGGGCGCTCCGTCGGCACCTAACGTGGTCTTTGCTCAAACGACCGCTCGTAACCACCAGATGGAATTCAGTTAAAGGTTCCAATAAAACAATGATCCCCGCCTGTCTCTGCGCTCAGGGCCCAGCAGCCACCACTGCCTCCCATTTCGGGCCAGGCTCACAGAGGCAGCTGGCGCTGGCCCATGACCCCGCGCTTCCCAGGAGCCCGAGCGGCCCGCCGCGCCCACAGCAGCTGCCTCCCTCCAGCAGGCCCGCGAGGGCGTGAGCAGGGAGAAGGGCTCCTCACGGGGCATTGTGTGAGTGCTGTGCGGGCACCGGGGGTCTGAAGGAGCCACAGCATGGTCCGCAGGCACCTGCACACGGGGTCAACCATCTCAGACTTCCTTCCAGACGGCGCTTTCAGGAGTGGGGCAGGCCCCAGGCCCGGCTGCGCTCTGAACTGAGTGCCTCATACCCTGCCCTCCGAGTCCCCCCTCCCCAAAGAACCATGGGTTTGATTCCAGGCCAGACTTTTAATAAAGAAAATTCATCCACAGATGTTGTGCCATCAGCCAATATATTCAGTTATTGGGATCTGGGAGATTTAGTGGCTGGTCCTTGTTTTATTTCCTCTCTGGACGGACCATTTCTCTTGTGTACTTAATATCCTGGAAGCATATTTTCCTTAGCAAATTCTCAGTCCGAGACAGCAAATCCATTCTGGACCTCTCGGGCCATTGCTTCTTTTCTGGAACTCGGAACAGGTGTCTCTCTGTACGTTTGCTCTTCCCTGTGTCATTCAGGAGGACGAGGAGGCGGTCGGCCCGTCTCAGCAGCTGCGACCTCCGGGCAGCCCCGGCCTGGTGCGCTTGGCCGGGTCCCCGTCACCCCGGGAGCAGCCAGGGGCCTTGTGGACTGAATTGTGGCTTTACTGAAACTCGGGGCTTTTACTCCAATAGCCAGCTCCCATCTCTCAGGGGGAGGATTTTGGGTGCTTCACTCCAAGAAAATCTGTAAGGATGCAGAAGTGGGAACCCGTCTCCCCCTTCTACAATCTTTACTTGCAAGCTCCGCCGGCCGAGGAGGGAGAGCCGTCTTGCTCACGGGGGACGTCCGGTGAACGAGGCTCTAATGAAAGCCCAGGCCTCCCATTGCCTGCCCCTCCTCTCCTGACAACACGGGTGGGGGTATCCCTGAGCTCCCAGCAGAAACACACTAACAGGCCCAGGCCCAGTGACAAGAAAGCAGGAAAGGATTGGGGGAGGGGGAGGGTTTGGGGCAGGACCCACTTCCTCATCGAAGGTCACAGCCTGTGAGTTGGCCCAGGTCCTGCGGATGAGTGAGATTCTCTGTGTCCCAGGCCTGGGGACCCGGGTTAGGTTCCAGAGAGGGCCGGCCGCTGACCTCTGGGACCCAGCAAAGCCGCACTGAGCCAGCTTGCCAGGGAGGGCCTGCTTTACCTCCGCGGACCCATGGGTGTCTTCTCCACAGGTGGCCCCGCCCTGTCTCCGGAGGGCGCCTGTGCCCGGCCCCATCCAGAGGAGCTCTTGGAGGAGACTCCCAGAGCGGAGTGTGGTGGGGTTCCAGGGCTGCGGCCTCGGTTCGGACCCACCCCGAGGGGCGGCGGAGCCCCAGGCTGGTCCTCCGTCTTCCGGGGGATGGGGTTGGGGACCGGGGGCAATCCCTCCAGGACACTCCCACAGGGCACACCCAGAGGGCTCTGCAAGACCCCCTCATCTTTAAAACCTCAGAAATGACGAGCGAACCAAAGACATCTCCTAATATCTTTATTGTTCCTTTGATAACTGGACAGTACAAAGTTCTCCTCATTTTGACTTCGAACTGTACTCCCCACGCACTGTTGTCCTCGGGATCATTCCTTTCCCAGTGGAAACAGAGTTTCCCTCGATAAGCCCTTCCTATCCGCGGTTACGTTATTTAGATAATTTAACAAGAAGAGAGTAATTCCTCTAGGATCAACATGAACTTGATTACCTCTTTCTAAGGGTGAACATTGAACTTTTTTTTTCTTTTTAGGAACAAAAACCATCCACTTATTAAACCCGAACTACAGCACGGCATTTACGACACTCGTTGCATGAACTGAACACACAGAGCTACCACCTCAAGGAGACGACAGACAGACGCGGCACGATATATCTACGGGGGGACGCGAGCTCGAACAAGTGGGCGCTGCGGCTGTCCACGCCACGCACGGAGCCGCCGCCGGCAGGCGGTGCGCACGGGTCCGTGGGGGCGCGGAGCCTCGGGGCAGCTCGGCTGAGACACAACAGGCGGTCGAGAGACGGCAGCTGCGATGGGATGAGTTACAGTCACCGAGCGCGGCCCCCGCGGGCCCTCAATGAGACGCGGCAGGCACACCCACCGGAGCCCAGCGCGATCTAGGGGGAGTGTCCATGCGACCTAACAGTGGTTGTCCTCAGGGCGAGAACTGACCAACAGTCGTTGCCTTACTTCTGTAGGTAATTTGACCAGAAAGGGGGCCAGGCGGGAGGGGCTGGGGCGATGGGGCGGGGGTGGGGACCAGGACCGGGGATCCCTGGACTGCAGTTCCAGCTGCAAAGACGGGGGTGGGGGTGGGGACGGGGGCATCTTCTCTCCCCAAGCGTGTCGCCCTCTCGCTCTGACCAGAGGCACGGGGAGGCGACGCCACCTCGCGGTGCCGGGACCCACACTGCTGCTGATGTTTCGAAATTAGTATTATTAGTGTCGTTAGGTTATGTCGGCAGCTGTCCCACAGGAAGGTCCGTGTGGGGGAGGCCGCGGCCCCCTGGGCTTTCCGGGCGGAGACAACTACAACTCGTCGGACCGGATGACGTGAAAGAGGGTGACGTTGTAGAGAATCTGGTGGCCGTTGTTCCAAGCGTACAGGGCGCGGTCCTTGGGGTTGTAGTCCAGCATGGAGATGTGGGAGTACTTGTTCTGGAAGGGGATGTCGATGTACTCGTAGGTCGAGGCGTTGGTCTGGTAGGCGTAGTGGACCTTGGTGCCCCCGGAGTAGCCGTTGGTGACGTAGAGGGTCCCGCAGATGATGAAGGCCTCGCCTGCGCTGCGCTTGGGGTAGCTCGTGTTCCACGTCTGCAGCACCTGCAGGGACACGGGGTCCAGCTTGCTGATCACGATGTTGCCCGCGTTCTGGTTGGTGGCGTAGACGGCCCACAGCCCGTTCTCGTCCACCATGAGGTCGATGTCTGAGTGGCCGCCCCAGGCGTAGTGGTACATGTTGTTGTAACCGGCATAGTCCAGACTCCGCGTCTTCAGGATCGTCTCAGTCTTCAGGTCGAACCGGATGACGATGTGGCTCTGGAACTTGTTGAAGTAGATGGAGCCATTGTAGACCACCTGCCCCGTGCCGGACCAGGGGTGCGGGAGGCGGTGGGACGTGAAATTGTCCGTGGTCATGAAGTCGGTCATGGACTTGTACTCGCGGACAAAGCGGTTGTTGTGGTAGCCGTCCATGTACCAGACCTGCGGGGGGTGGGGGCAGAGAGAGAGAGCGCACCCGTTAGCGGCTCTGGGGGCCGGGCTGTGCCCCCCCGCGTGGCCTCGCCTCTCAGGCTCAGAGTCTTGTTGACTCGGCAGCGGCCCGGGACCTCGAGAAGGACCCGAAAGAACAAGGGGAGGAGAGTGAAGACCGGGCAACGTCCTGTCCCTCCCCCAAACCCACAGGTACTCCTCAAAGGGGACAGGGCCGTCCCTGCTGGGAAAGAAGAGTCTGGTGAGGACAAAGCATGGGGAGGCACACTCTGCGTGGGGCATTTGGGGACAGGTGCCACCGAGCCTGGGCTGTGGCCACCCCGTCAGTCAGGGAAGCGGGCGGCAACAGAACCTTCCCAGCCCCCTCTGCTTGGGCTGTGTCCAGACTGTGGCTCCCTGCGTTCTCCCTGGCAGGGTCCACAGCAGGTGCTCCCACTTACTGGGGGAAAGGAGGAACCCCATCAATGTATGAACCCCCAAGCCAGCAAGACAGCGCTGGACAAGGGGAAACTGGGGATGTGGGGACCCATCGCCAAGGGCGCCAGGAAGGGCGACCTCCTGCGTCCCAGGGGGCTGTCGGGCGTTAGGCCTCTTGTCCCGCCAGCTGCCCTGTGGGGCGTCCTGTCTGCCAGGCAGGAAGGCGTGCGGGACAATACATGTGGAATCACGGTCCCCGCAACCCCCGGGCTTCTTCTCCAAGAAGAACGAAGGCTTCGTGCAAGGCCCCGAGGGTCACAGAGGGCCACAAGCCACCAAGAGAACGGACCCAGGGGCGGCCCACGTTTGGGGTCAAAGAGGAAGAGTTATCGCTTAAATGCCAGTTGGCTCCAAAACCATCTAGACTTTGTACAAAATGCTTTAGTCATTTTCAACCAATATGGGAGCAAATTAGGAAGCAATGCCGTTACTCAGAGGCAGATCTGCTGGGCTAACGCCGTCCCCAGAGCATCTGGCCGGCAGTAAGACAGCTGCCTCATCCGTCAAGGCCCTGCCGGCTGCCGGGGAGATCAAGGAAGCGCGGCTTTCAGACACAGCATCGTACATGCGTGAAAAATTAAGAAAAAAAAATCCTAACCTTGTTCCTGAGGCATCTATCTGGATGCTTGGAGACAGATGTGCTTTTTGTCTTTAATGAGTTTTTTTTGAAAACTGGGCCTCGCTTGAGGCTTTTATTACCCTCAGCCCCCGCAGCCCGGCCCACGGTGATGCGGGTCTCCGATCAGAACGGGCGAGTGCTGGGCTGCCAGGGGTCCCGGGTGCCGTGGTCACGCTGCCGGGGACCCGCCCTCCTGCCTGCACTTGGCTCTCTCCTGAGATGGGGGACCTGAGGCACGGGGGGCCTCCAGGGTCTGGTGCCTCCCTCTCGTGGGCAGAGATGGGTGACACGGGCACCAAATTGCTCGGGATTTGTAAACCGCCACCTCTTCTTCCCGGAAACTAGTGAATCGGACCCAGGGCACGCTTCTGGAAAACACAGTTTAGGCTGGGAGGGGGAGCTGGCACAAGACCCTATATGTTTACTGACCAGCTCTCGGCCTGTGACCGCAAGACCCCACAAAAGCCCCTCTACTGAAGAGCGCGCCGCGGCAGCTGCGAGGGCCGAGAAAAGTCACCCCTTCCCTCGCCGTGGCAGCCCCTCCGGGTTCACCGTGATCTCCGGATCGGAAAGCCTCTCCCGCCTCACCCATCCGAGTCCCAAGGTTCACACAAAATCCCATCGCCCCCAGGAAGCCTCCCCCGATGCTCTGGCTTCACCCGGAACCCCCATATCTGAACTTCTAGACCCTGGAACCTGGCTGCCCCCTGAGCCCAGGACAGTCGCATGGGACTCCAGGGACAGAGCCAGGCCCGCATGCTGGTCAAAGCAGGTGACGTCAATGTGTAGGCAAGGCTGGGCCCTCTGGCCGGGAGCTGCACGTCTTGCTGTGGCCTGTGCCCCTTACCCTTGGTTATGCCTTCAGCTCCCTATGGGTCTCCGGGGCTGGTGCCACCTGACAGAACCTTCCAGAACTGTGATCCAGACCATCACTGCTCTGTAAACCTGACTCCCCAGTCCCAGGCTCTTCCCGGCAGTGTCCGGCAGCCTCTGCACCTGACCGACCAAGTCCCTGGCTCTCAGCACCTCCGGTCTGGCGTCCCTGTGCTCCACACCTGCTGCTCCCACTGCGGTGCCCCCACTCCACGGATCAAGTTCATCTCCTAAAGGACGTTTCTTACACCCCCTCTACTCCCAGGCAGGGAGGCCTCAATTTTGTAGGGGTGGCCCCTAAAGACGTGTCCACATCCGGGACCCTGTAAGGGTGACCCTATTTGGAAGACAGAGCTTTGCAGATGTCATTAAGGATCCCAAGATGGATTAGGGTAGGCCCTTAAATCCAGTGGTGGTGTCTTGAGGGGAGGAGAGACGTAGACACAGAGGAGCTGACACCCACCGGCCTGGGACGTCTGCACCCAAAGCCAGCCAACAGGAGGGAAGGTGTCGTGGACTCCAGACAGAGTCAGGGAGAGGGTGTCCTGGGGGCAGGGGGCACAGTCTGGCATTAGGGGTGAGAGCGTCAGAAGCACGCGGGCCAGTCCCCACCGAGGGAAGGCAGCTTTGGGCATAGAAGAACACCGCAGAGCCCAGCGTAGAGCCTGGCACACAGCTGGAGCCCAATAAAGGAGTCACAGAAGGGAAGGCACAAGGCGTCCTGAGCTAACCCTGTTCTAGCAGCTCAGCTCAGTGCGAAGGTGTCGGGACGCTTTGAGCCATGCCCACTCCTCTGGAGCCCCCACCATGGGCCCCCCACCAGGGATCCCCTGTGCAGCGTTCCCTGCATCCCCC